GTATTGAGGTGACATTGGTTAATAAGATTATGTAGGTTTCAGGTGTACATTTCTATGATATATGATATGTATGTTGCATTGTATGCCCAAAGTCAACTCACCTTCTGTCACCATGCATTTGACCCCTTTATCCTCTACTACCCCCCAACTCCCCTTCCTTCTGTGTCTGTGCACTTTTGTTTGTTTTTTCTTGTTTGTTCATTTGTTGCTTTCAGTTGTACATCCCACATACATTGATATGCTCCTTAACTTTTTCTGTCTGACTTATTTCCCTTAGTGTGATATTCTCAAGATCCATCCAAGTTGTCAAAAATGGCAGTATTTCTCCTTTCCTTGTAGTATTCCATTGTGTATACAAGGTCTGTCCAGAAAAAGTCCAGTCATTGTTAACACAAGAATGGTTTGCACAACATCAGTGTAACCTGGCAGCCAAGGATAATGCACATGTGTGTGCAATGACTTCTCTGTACTAGTCAGTGGGGACGGTAGACGCTGTTGAGTGAGCATGTGTACTGTGTGGCTGTCACATTAAAAATTATTGAGTGAATAGAGCAATGAATCTGCATCCAATTTTGTGTTAAGCTTGAGCATTCCAACAGGGAAATTATTCAGATGATTCAGAAGATTCAGAAGGCTGCAGCTATGGACCACTGGTGATTGGCAGCTTCATCATGACAATGCATCTGCTCATGCATCACGTCTCAGGCAGAGTTTTTTGGTGAAGCATCAAATCACTCAGGTGACTCAATCGCCTAAAGCGCAGATTTGGTGCCCTCCAACTTTTGGCTTTTCCCAAAACTAAAATCACCTTAGAAAGCAAAGAGATTTCAGACCATTGATGAGATTCAGGAAAATACGATGGGTCAGCTGGAGGCAATTGGGAGAACTGTGAGGTACCAAGGTGCCTACTTTGAAGGTGTCGTTGTCCTATGTACAGTGTTTCTTGTATCGTGTATGTTCTTCAGTAAATGTCTCTATTTTTCATATTACATGGCTGGGTACCTTCTGGACAGACCTAGTACGTATTACCTTTTCTTTAAACAATCATCTATAGAAGGACACTTTAGTTGTTTCCATGTGTTCTTAAGGACCCTTGGATTTTCAGAATGGTAAGAGAACATTGGCTTCAACTTAAAGTCACCAGCTGTATTAATCCCTAACAAAAGAGCCAGCCTGTCCTTTCAAATTTTGAAGCCAGGTGTTTACTTTTCTCTGGCTATGAAAGTCCTAAAGGGCATTTTCCAACAATTTAAGGCTATTTTGTCTAAACTGAAAATATGTTGTTTAGCGTAGCCACTTTCATTAATTATCTTAGTCAGATCTCTAGATAATTTGCTGCAGCTTCTACATCAGTATTTGCTGCTTCACTTTATACTTTCATGTTAAGGAGACATCTTTCTTTAAACCTCATGACTGTACCTCTGCTAGCTTCCAGTTTTTCTTCTGCAGCTTCCTCAGCTCTCTCAGCCCTCATAGAGTTGAAGAGAATTAGAGCCCAGCTCTGGGCTAGGCTTTAGCTTCGGGGAATGTTATTGCTGCCTTGGTTGTCTGTCTAGAGCACTAAAACTTTCTCTGCACTAAGTCTGTTTCACTTTCTTATCATTCATGTGTTCATTGTAATAGCACTTGTGATTGCCTTCAAGAACTTTTTCTTCACATTCACAACTTGACTGTTGGCATAAGGTGCCTAGCATTCAGCCTATCTCAACTTACTACATACCTTCCTCGCTAAGCTTACTCATTTCTACCTTTCAATATAAAGTGAGAGATGTGCAAGTTTTCCTTTACCTGAACCCTTAGAGGTCATTGGGAGGTGATCAGTTGGCCTAATTTTAATACTGTTTTGTCTCAGGAAATAGAGAAGCCTGAGGAGAGGGAGAGGGACAGGAGAACCACTGGTGACCGGGGGCAGTCAGAACACATTTATCAAATGAGTTTGCCTTCTTCTGTGGGCATAGTTCATGGTGCCCCAAAACAATTACAATAGTAACACCAAAGATCACTGATCACAGATCATCATAACAAATATAATAATGAAAAAGTTTAAAATCTTGTGAGAATTACCAAAATGTGACAAAGAGACACATAGTGAGCAAATGCTGTTGGAAAAAATGGTGCTGATAAGACTTGCTTGACACGGTTTTGCCACAAACCTTCAATTTGTAAAATGCACAATAAAGTGAGGTGCAGTAAAATGAAGTATGCCTATAATTTGTCTTCAAATGCTGACACCTAACTCTTAGGCTGTGTAATTGGGCTACCTTCTTAGACAGTAAAAATCATATTCTGCGTCCAAGCTAATATGTTCATCTACTAGAAACTTTACTGCCTATGACAACAGGTAGAATTAAAACAAATCTTTTTATATACATTATAGCTGGCAGAGACTCTTAGGACCACCACAGATCATTCCTGTCTTTCAGAATTTGCTGACAAAAAAAGCATGGAAATGCAAAACAAGCCTGGTCTGATAAAGTTAACTTTGAAAACCTTAGCTTATTTAGACCACCATTCATTCTGTTGTGGGTTTGTTTGTTTTTTTAAGATGCTGTGTATTCAACAAGCTCTTCTAATTAATGTATTCTTTGAGCTTCTTTCTTCTTTCATTATGTCTCTTCTTTCATTATGAACCAGTTTCTCTTCTACGGCCATCTCTGGCTCCTTTTTTTGTTAGAGATTAATAATGAGAATAATGAAGCAAATGGCTATTTGTGCAGTCATGATTGACAAAGGTTATTAGAACAGGAATCTGCCCAGAAGCAGATGATTAGGTTATGAAAATGTTATGGAATACTGAAACCAATCACCATTTTTGACATTTAAGAAATACTATTCCCAGTTTAATCATGATGACCTGTTATTAAAGTATTTTTACAGAATAATCTCATTGGACAGTAATTTTTATACCAAAAGCATACATAATTAAGTATAAGGGGAAGATTCAGAAGTGATCTGAGAGAAAAATGGGCCTGGGGAGGAAATTATCACAATAAGAAGTGAGGAACAGAACTCTCTTAGATAAAACTGTCTGTCTCCCAGATACCTGACCTACACGCTTAGGTGACCTTTTACATTTATTATCTTCATCTTGGGTGCTTTGCAAGTTTGAGGAGCTGTTGGAGAGTGTACCCCAGGTTAGGTTGCTATGTTCTTCATACTAGACTGTAAAAAATATAAGGAGGTATATATAGACAGAAATTGTCCTCGGGATGGTTTTATTGTCGAAGCACTGCTTTAACTAACATACAAAATGAAAAAAACAAGACAAAAATATAATTATGTCCCTTTATATTTAATATAGTCGTAACTTTGTAAATTATGTAGTAATTATTTTTTACCAGAATTGTACCATTGCTTCCACCCTGCATTTGTTTTTTGTTTTTTTGTGGGGTTTTTTTTGGTAAGAGTTTTACTGAAATAAAATTCACATATAATAAAATTCAACTTTTGAAGTATATGATTCAGTGTTTTTGAGTATATTCCTAAAGCTGTGCAAATACAACATTTAATTCCAGAGAATGTTTATTAACCCCCGCCCCCCCATAAAACCTATAACCATTGGCAGTTGCTTCCTATGTTCCTACCCTGGACACTCAGAACCACTAATGTACTTCCTGTCTGTATGGGTTTCCCTATCTTGGACACTTCTTTTTTGTCTTCCTTCCGTTTTTCCCATATAATAAATACTTAAGGAAATTGGAGAAGAGAAGAGAAAGTGGATATGGATGAATGTAACTCTTATTTATGATCTGATATGCTTAGAACTGAGTATTCTTTCCCCTGGCTCTTTGGAAGAGGTATTTAAAACAAAAAAGAATAACGACAGCTTTATATAAATGGAATCATATAACATGTAGTATTTTGTGTCTGGCTTCTTTAGCATAATGCATTCATGGTTCATTTATATAATAACATAGAGCAATACTTTGTTTCTTTTTATGGCTGAATAAAACTCCATTGCATAGATATACCACATTTTGTTTATCTACTTATCACTTGGTGAACATTTAAGTATTTTCACTTTTTTACTGTTATGAATAATGCTGCTCTGAATATGCATGTACATGCTTTTATGTGGGCATATATTTTTAATTCTCTTGGGTATATACCTAGAAGTGGAATTGCTGGGTCATACGGTGACTCTATATCTAACTTTTTGAGGCACCACTGAATTTTCCAAAGCTGCAGCACCATTTTATCTTCCCATCAGCTATGTAGGAGGGTTTTAATGTTTCCATCTTGTTGACAGTGTGTATTATTGTCAGTCTTTTTTGATTATAGTCATCTTAGTAGATACAAAGTGGTATCTCATTGTGGTTTTGATTTGCATGCATTTCCCTAATGGCTAATCATGTTGAGCATCTTGTGCTGCTTGGCCATTTGTATATTTTCTTTTGGGAAATGTCTGTCTGAGTCTTTTGCCCATTTTTTAATTAAGTTACTAGTTTTTACTGTTGACTTGTGTAAGGTGTTTTTATATTCTGGATAACAGTTGCTTACATATGTGATTTGCAAATATTTTATCTCATTCTATAGGTTGTCTTTTCTTTTTTTGAAGCACAAACTTTTTAATTTTGAAGTCCAGTTTGTTTATTTATTCTTTTCTTGCTGTTTTAAAGTGACCATTACCTAATCCAAGATCACAAAGATTTACTTTTATGAATTTTATAGTTTTAGCTCTTACATTTAGGTCAGTGATCCATTTTCAGTTAGTTTTGTATATGGTGTGAGGTAGGGGTCCAGCCTCCTCTTTTGCATGTGTTTGTATTTGTTTTTATTTATTCAACTTTAAATGTTTAGAGAGAAATGTCTCTTCAAATGAGAATCATTCAAATGAGAATACACTTACTGTGTTCATCTGAAGACTACACTGACCTGCACTCTCACCCAATATAGTTGCATGTCTGTCTCTATGATGTTTATTGGAATCTGTAAAGCAGGACTCATGGGTGTACTTTGAATTCATTTATTAGTTTTTTTCCCTTAATTTGCAATCTCACCTCTTCAGCTACAGTATAGAGAATGCCAAGAACTTCTAAGCCTCTATCAGAAATATCTGTCAGAACAGCAGGAGAAGCTCACCATGTCTCTCTCAGAACTTGGTGCAGCTAGAATGCAGGAACAACAGGTAAGCATCTTTATTCTTACCTTTTCTTATTTTTAATGGATCAGCAAGATGTCAGAAGAGTCATTTGCCTTTTACGTTGTCTCAGTGTATGCGGGGTGAGGCAAAAGTAGATTTACAGTTGTTTATATGGAAAATAATACAATAATAAATAATAATACAAAAATAAACTGTTTTGGGTACTCAACTGTAAACCTACTTTAGCCCCACCCTGTAGTATTGTCTTAAAGTATGGAAATAGAACATGTGCTTGAGTTGGTGTCTTTTACTTTCCTCTTTCCCTTTCCTCTCTTGTCCCCAGGACCCAGAGCTCAGGAATAATTACTTGAAGCAGGATGTGGGTCAGTGAGGAAGCTCCTGGTTGTATGAAAGCACAGTGGGAATAGTAAAGAAAGCTTACTGTTCTGTTGCTTAATGAAAATCCCGGGGGCTGTTTGTTACTCATTGTCCTTAGAGAAAACACTAAGTCTTTCCTAACTCTTGCTTATATTTTTAGAACAATAAAAGTGACTTGGTAACTTACAACAGCTTAAATTGGATAAAATTAAAATATTTTGCATGATTTTATGTTTGTGTATATATGTATTAATCACAAATACATAGATGAGCGTGTTTGTAAGTACATTTACATACATATCATCAAATGGTGTATAGTATATAATAAATGAATGTTCAGAACCTTGCCAGTTGCGGCTTGCTTACCCTCCAGCAAGTGACACTTGATTTCATTTTTATAACCACGTGAGTTTAAATCTTCAAATAGATGGAGATAAGCCTTATATAGTAAAACATTTTAGGGGAAAAACACTGTAGTAAAATCATTCATATTAAGTATTAAAATATGGATAATGTACTCAAGTATTATCCTCTCCTTTTTCAATGGTATCATTTGCAACTATTCTAAAGAATACCATTGCCATTCACCAAGAGACAACTGTTTGAGATGGGTTAAGGGTTTTGGCCAAGAAAACCCCAGTTTTGAACCTAAAGTTTGGACATATGGAAAAGCTTTTCTTTAAGAAATAATTTTGCTGGAATGTGGTAGAACTTAAATTTTTTAAATATGTTTTTCTTTGGAAGTCACAACATTTATAAAAAATGGCCAAAGTATGAGTAGTTTATTTGTATTCCAATTTGAAATATTTTGTTTTGTTTTCTGAAAACCTAGGCTATAAAATGATGCAGGGGAAGGTGACAGTTAATCTTGATTGCTTATCTGGATTTTTCCTGCTACTTTGACAACAGGCAGTTTTTAAGGCGGTCATGAGTGGGCTAGAGAAAACTAGCGTGAAGGTCAGATTTTTTTACCTTTATTTTGCATTTTCACTTCCTCCCTTTGCATGACATAGGTGTATTAGAGGGCACAAAGATGAAGGGCAGCCCATTGTCAAGGGTCTGTGAAGGGAGGCAGAGGACCATTCAATGGCCAGTATAGTCTTATGACCTTAGGGATATAGAGAGAGAGTCAAGAAATCATCGCTAGGGACCTCTAAAGATAGATAGGTAGATAAGGAGGCCTAACCCTTTGTCTATCTACTTCTAAAACGGGGAAGAAAGAAAACTTTCTCAGGCATTTGTGTTTTGTTTAAGAATCTTAGATATTTCACTAGAGACCGACCATAGTTAACACTGCCTTCCTTAACCTTAACTTTGAGGGACAAAACTAAAAAAAAAAAAAAAAAAAAAAAAAAGGCACAGATACCTAGAATGAAAATGTTGGCCAAGTATATTAAGCCAATGGTGTACCCTCAAAAAGAGATACTTTTGAATTTTCATTTTGACTTAATGATGAGAAAATTTTAAAGCCACATTTTCAAGAAGTAGTTGGTGTCATGTTAGATAATGTTTTATATACAGTGAAAATGAAATTGAGAGTTAAAGCCCACTTGTAGGCTTGCCATTTGAACCCAGAGAAGGAAAATAAGTTTCATTTTGAATACCAAGCAGAGACTGGCACCTTGTTTCCTGTGCTATCTGATTTGTTCTTCGTGACAAGCTCCTCTATGCTGAGCAGAGGTAAGCATCTTCTCTTCTTATCAATGGAAATTGGATAAATTTGGCCAAGCCTAATTCCTGTTAGGAAGGGCATCATTGTGAAGACTCAGCCTCAATGAGGACGCAATTAAGTTAAATGCCCTCTTTGTGTGCTTCCAGGTGGACTGTGCTCTTCTCTGTTGCGGCGCCTTTCTTGTTCTTCTGTAGTGATCGTTTATTCATCCGTCTCCTCACCAAGCTCTTTTGAAAACAGGCATCCCGGTACATTGGTCTTTGTACACTCACAGCCTAATGTAGGCTTTGGCTTAAAAATATTTTAATAAAAATTATGTGAATAATTTATTTTTTAATTTCTTTACTCCATTCATTGCCATTTAGCCCGCGCGTCCTCTCCGCCTCCTCTCCACCCTCCTCTCCCGGAAGTCACTGCACTGTTGTCCTTGCCCATGAGTTTTTTCTCTTTCTTTTTTTCTCTTTTTTGCTCAGGTTCTCCATGCCTCCACCCGAAGAAACCTGAAACACTAATTCCTTTTTGCCTGCCATTGTCAAAGTGGCAGGGAAAAATCAAGATAAACAGTCAAGATTAACTGTCACCTTCCTCTGCATCATTTTATAGCCTAGGTTTTCAGAAAACAGAACAAAAGAAAATATTTCAAATTAGACTACAAATAAACCATACTTTGGCCATTTTTTATAAATGTTGTGACTTCAAAAGAAAGAATATAAGCACCCCTCTGTTCATTGCAGCATTATTTGCAATAGCCAAGATTTGGAAGCAGCCCAAATGTCCATCAGTAGAGGAGTGAATGAATTTTTAAAAACATATTTGTAAAAAACATTATATATATATGAGATACATACTGTGTGCCAGGTACTGTTCTAAGCTCTTAACATATATTAAATCATGTAATTCTCACAATAACCCAATGAGGTTATTATCCCTGTTTTATAGAGGAGGAACCCTAGAGAGAATGAGTAGCTTGCCCAGGTCATACAGATAGAAAGTCTGGCTCCATAGTTTCTTGAAGAAATAAAAACAGGAACGACTTGAGATAGCTAAAAGAATAAATGTTTACTTTAGGTGTCTTTGTTTCTATGACTAGTACTCGAGGCTCTTACTCTGACATACAGGTTTTTGAGCACCAGAGCACAAATATAGTAGAGATGTTGGGAAACTATTCGCTTTTCCTGAGTAGCCTCAATGTCAAGTAAACATAAAATTTTATTTGCTCTCAAAATAAGTTTTTTTAAAAAAAACTCATCTCCAGATGTTGCGATAGAGATAGCAGCAGTTCATTCTTCATAAGGCATTCGTTTGACTTTGAGAGACTTGTTCTGTTTCTTTGCATTGGTTGCCATCTGGCTCAGATTGCATATTATAGGTGTTGCTTATAGTTTTATTAAATCCACAGTTCTTCAGAAGAATGTCCTGGCTTATGATTTTCTTTTTCAACTTCTGCCATTTCCTTGAAAAGAAATTGCTCCACTTACAAGGTGAATTTTTTTCCTTGTTTTTTCCCTATTCTCTTTCTTGCTTTGCCTCAAAGATAAATGCATTTTTACATTCATTTTGGAAAGCATTACAAGTTTTTCATGGTGGATTCTATAAAGGTTTTTCACTTGTTCTGTTTAGATTGAGATATCTAACTGATGAGTTTTCCTTATCCTAAGAAACAGTACTTGGTATAATATTGTTCTTGGACATGGGTGGATCTAGTAACCATAGTTTTGACCAATGTACATTTTAGAATATAGCTTTCCTTATCATAACTGAGTGTTATTTCTTTTTTTGTGAACCTGAATTTAAACAGTGTCACGTGAGAGTATGATGCTTATAATTTCTATTTCAGTCTTATTTAATAGGCTGTATCATTTTAGATATGTTGTAGTTTTTCTGCAGTACTCTTTATATTAAGATAAAGCCTAGGCAGCATTTAAGTAGTTTTTGCCACTGTATTTTTAAATGTTGGTATTCAAACCCAACTTATTATTTCTCTTAACTGTTTATTTTCTTGGTAAGTAAATGTACAAAGTTGGATTTGGAATCTTATTGAGATTGCTCCCTTTCCTATTTAGTATAAAATGGATAAAATCATTATCACTTTTTAGCCATTGGCTTGGGATATTAATGAATTGCTGCTGTTCTGATCTGGCCATTACGTTCCCTGTTATTAGTATTGTTTCTCTCGTCCCGTGCTAAACTTTTTCTGTTACTACTCGTTATTTCCTCCTGTTTCTCTTCTTCTGTTTCATTCTTCTTTGGCTTCTCCTTATGTCCCTCCAAGTCTCTAGATGCTTTTCAAGTTCTAATTCCTCTCTCTGGCTTTTCTTCCCACTGTTCTCCCTGTCCTTCTACTTATTCAGAGACGCTTACATTGTTTACTATCATCTGCTCATGGAACACTTCCTAAGTAAAAGTCTTCACCTGTGATTATACCAAAATTGCTTAAATATCTGTCTTATTACTTCCACTGCCACTACTCTGTTGCACACAATCTTGGGGCTGCAGTCCCTGCAATTTTTTAATATTTTTTAGTTCTCTTTCATTGATAGTCATTTCCCATATCCACTTTTGTAATCACAGAATTGAAGGACTATTATGGTGCAATTCAGAGTTGTAAGTGAACAGCTAGTGTATATGCGGCTGTTTACCTGTCACATAGAGATGACCTTCAAATCTTTATCACAGCCCCAACAGCTACTGCTAGTTCATCTGAATTGGCACAAAACCTATTTTCATTCCTGGTTTAAAGATCTTCCAGGACAGGATTTCTACTTTCAGACAAAATGGAGTAAGTGGAACTAAATATATACACTTAACTAAACAAATGGAAAACTGGAGAGAATATATTATATGAAGGTTTTACAGGTAATGGACATCAAACACTGAAGGAGAGTGATCCTGGAAAGAGGAGGAACACATGACATGAGCCATGGGATTGTCTCCAGAAGCTAGCTAGACAGAGAAACCCAAGTAGAGACTGGTGGCCTCCATGAGGTGAAAAGAT